CTTTTTTTCCTTTCTTTCTTTCTTTCTTAGTATTTTTTTAACCCTTTTATTGTGGTATGAGTCCTGTACAGTAAACTACACATATTTCAGATGTACAATTGATGAATTTTGATAGATGTGTACGCCCGTGAAACTACGACTTTATCACGACGGCTAACATTTCCATCACTCCCCCGGAAGTGCAAGTTTCAAATTCCCAATTTACCCCTTCCCACCCCCTTTACCCGCTGGTAACCATAAGTTTGTTCTCTACGTCTGTGAGTCTCTTTCTGCTCTGTAGATACGTTTTGTTTGTTTGTTTTTATTTTTAGATTCCACATATAAGTGAATATGGTATTTTTCCTTCTCTTTCTGGCTTACTTCACTTAGAATGACGATCTCCAGGTCCATCCATGTTGCTGCAAATGGCATTATTTTATTCTTTTTTATTCTCTTTTCAATTGCCTTTTGAAAGTCTTTAAAAATTTTCTTTTTGCCCAACTTTTATTTTTATTTTACTTTTGGGGGAAAGGTAATTAGGTTTACTGACTGATTTTAATGGCGGTCCTGGGGCTGCAGGCTTTTCAGACACACAGGCCCCTGGGTCCTGCCCGGCTGCTGTGATAATCACCCCGTTAGCACTCCTAGGTGAGTCAAACAGAAATCTTTTCAGTAGTGTAGTGAAGTCCCTGGAAATCTCACCCGTAACTTTCAAATTACCGCTGAGGACAGCCGGTTACGTTCGGTTTCAGGCGGTCGGGGTGGGCTTCCAGATCCCGTGGCGTGGGAACGTGGGTCTGGAAGAGGAGGCCCCTTACAGGAAGGGCAGGTTGTCACCAACTTGACTGCAGAGAATCAGGCTGATCACGCCTGGAAAATGTGATACCAAGGGGCAGAGCTGTAAAATCTGCAGCGAATCCAGCCCCTCAGCCTGCAAACCCAGCCCTGTGGCCTCGCCCACATCTGTGGACATGAACAAAGCCCAGCCAGATGGGACAAGCGACGGCTCTTGCCACGGCTCGTGCCTCCCGCAGGGGCCCAGAGGGAGGTGGAGCGGCGGGATGGACTTGCGGTGGGAGAAGGAGGGGCTCAGGGCTGTCGTGGGGGAGGCTGGTGGCCGGCTGACCGGAACTGGGGGTCCTGTGTGATTGGTCTGGGGCCTGTCTGCCTCGCTCTGGCTGGTCCGGAGTTGGAAGCAGGGACGACAGTTAGGGAAGCTGTCAGTTACTGGTCAAAGCCTGGCCACGTGGGGCCGACCGCTGCAAAAGTTACTGTTAGTTTCCTGGGTTGCCCGTAGAGACGAGTGGCTGGCTTCCTGGGCTGGCTGTTATAAATGAGGGGCTCGGTCTCCTGGGCAGGGGGCTGCAGGTTGTGGGTCGGGGTTCTGCTTGTATATGCGGTCTGGCCGCTGTCCGTCGGTGTATCTGTCTCTCTGTCTCCCCTCTGGAGGTCGACCTGCTCTAGGAAAACCAGAGACTCACCACTTGGAGACTGGCTAGTCATCTTCATCCGTTTCTCTCGGATGTCCCTTCCCAAAGGTGACACCTCTTGGTTGCAGATCAGGAAGAGGCTTGTTTAGGAAGGTGTGGGGAGGCGGCCATAACCTGCTGGTGGTGGAACCCCTGCAATACCGCACCCCGTCTGTGTGGGGCAGGCAGAGTCTAGTCCTGGGGCTGAATCCCTAGAAGCAAGGCCTTCCAGCTGCTAAGTCACAGGGGACAACCGGCGTGTGCCCCACGGACCAGACCATTCGACTCTGAAGACTAGTGGAAGCCCCTCTGGCCAAGGGAGCGCAAGTGTTTCTGGAAGTTTCGCTAATTTTAAAGAGATGACAGTGATCCTGTGAACTTTTCCAGAAGATTGTGGGTGATACGGACTGTGCAGTTTTTTTTAAATTGAAGCACAGTTGGTTTACAACGTTGTGTTAGTCTCGGGTGTACGGCATGGTGGTTCAGTTATACACATACGTTCTTTTTCAGATTCTTTCCCATTATAGGTTATTGCAAGCCATTGAATCTAGTTCCCCGTGCTGCACAGTAGGTCCTTGTTTGTCTGTTTTCACAGTGTAGTGTGCATCTGCTAATCCCAGACTCCTGACTTCTCTCTCCCCCACTCCCCTCTGGTAACCATGCATTTCTCTTCTATGCATCTGAGTCGGTTTCTGTTTTGTCAGTAAGTTCCTTTGTGTCATTTGTTTTAGACTCCACGTATAAGTGACATCATATGGTATTTTTCTTTCTCTATCTGACTTCCTTCACTTGGTGTGGCCATCTCTGGGGTTCAGTCTGGGGGCCTGGACGAGGCGGTGGCGGACACTGAGGTTGCTTCAGTGTTGTGGCTATCGTCAGTGTTGTTGCTGTGAACGCTGGGGTGCATGTATCCCTTCAAACTGGAGTTTCCTCCAGATAAATGCCCGGGGGCGGGGCTGCTGGATCACTCGGAAAGCCTGTTCTTGGCTTTGCGAAGAGCCTCCGTGCTGCTCCCACGGGGGCTGCACCAGCCTGCACCGCCACAGCAGTGCAGGCGGGCTCCCTCCGCTCCACGCCCTCTGCAGCAGTTGCCGTTTGTGGGCTTTTGAACGGCGGCCATTCTGGGCAGACTGCTCTGGACTGTGGGTCAGAGTCCTTCTTCTGTGTATGGTCTGACCGTGGTCCGTTTCCTAATTCAGTATCTCACAGTTACCCTTGGAGTTTCTGATTCTGCCATTGGGTCACCCTTGACCAGAAAAACCCCTTGTCCCTTGGGGTCTCCACCTGTGCCCTGTGTGGGTTTATGGGGTAGCGTCTGTATGAGACTTTGAGATCTACAAGGCTCCCCCCAAGCTCCCATCCCCCGGAGCCTCCCCTGTGTCGTCATCCCCGTGGGTAGCCCTGCCCCGGGAGCGACTGAGGTCCGGGCCAGAGCAAGTCACATCCTGCAGGAAGCTCTGAGGGCGGGAGCCAGTCCTTTCATTGGATGGTGACATCTGCATTTTTAAAGGGGTAGTCCCCTGGGAGGCGGCCTCCCAGAGCCTTCTGGAAACCGAAGGAGAACGCAGGGTGGAGGTTTCTGCTCACCGTGGGCCGCAGCTCAGCCATGACAGCAGGCTCGCAGACGTGAGAGACGGACTCCCCGGGGCAGCTGGTTTTGCAGCGAATTAACGTCTATTAAATATTTCTTCTTCCAGGCCTGTGGTCTGGGATCACCGTCTGTGCCATCTCCCAGGCTCTGTGTTTCCTAGTCTTTATTGCTCAACTCAATTGGAAAAGCGCGTGTGAGCGGGTAAAGCATGCCCCCGGCCGTCCCCTCCTGGAAAACACACAGACCCAGCTGTGCCCCCTCTTTCTCTGCCTTATTTCAGAAGCTTCTTTTCTCCTTTATTGTGAATCCAACTTTTTTGGTCATGGTTGTTTTAATTCAGATGCGAAGGGCTGGGTTCCCCTTTGTTTATTCGTCGAATGGGAAAACAGGGGTTTCTTTTCCTCCGGCACCCTGTGCCAGAAGAGCCCATTTCCGGATGAGATGTAGAGCAGGACAGAAAGGCGGAGTGCGCCACATTCACCCTGATACTGTCTCTTATGTTCCCCCATTTCACAAAGATACCAGTGGGCGCCTTTCCTCTCTAGACGTTTATTTGGGGGGGATGGATTAGGTTCACTTGTTTAACAGGTGTGGGGATTGAACCCGGGACCTTGTGCACACTAAGCATGTGCTCTGCCCCTGAGCTGTGCCCTCCCCCCCCCCCGTAAACTTTCTCAGGTCAGTGTGGGACGGGAAGGTAGGTGATGGACGAAAGATGAAGGGAGAGGAAGGTGGGATTCTGCAGGGTCCTGGTCCCCACCCCCAGCAAGTGAGCCCGCGTCAGCCGTTAGGAAAGATGAGTCCCTCCATGTTAACTGGAGAAGCTCCCACGTTACGTGTCAGTGAAAGAAAGTGGCTTGGTTTTTCCTGAACTGGGGAGCCAGGCCACATGTTTTCTCAGCAGCTGGGGGCAGCCTGTGGATTTGCTTCCTCTTGTCTTCCAGGCTCAGGTACATGCCAATTTGAAGCTAAACATGGCCCAGGACGGGACTTCTGCTCTCTCTCAGGATCCACTTTACCCAGGTATGGCCTTCCTGCTTCTGCTCCTGGGCCTGTCTGGGTGGTCCCAGAGCCACCGTCTGTGGGACTCAGCCAGATTAGCCGTGCCGAGCTCCCACTCAAATAGGGCAGTAACACTTCAGAAACAAATGGTAAGCAACACCCAATTTGTGGTGAACAGAGGCGAAGCCTGCTTGCTTCACCTGCAGACACAGACCTGCTCCCTGAGGTGACTAGAGGCTGCAGGCAGCCAAGGCAGCACTCATGCAAGCACACGGGCTGCTTTCCTTGTGCTCAGCATCGTCCACAGTCCTGAGACTAAACCTGGGTCTGGGTCACGAGCCTGCCTGGTCCCTAGCAGGCCCGCTGATGCGAAGGCTGGCGTCTCTCCTCAGCGCTGTGAACGGCCTTTCTCCTCTACCAGCCTTATTCTCCTGAAATGCTGACTTGCTGGGTGCTGGCCCCTGGAAATTTCCCCGAAGACTCTTCACCTAAAAGCTCCTTCATTTGTGCGGTGACGTGGGGGGGCAGAGCCCCTGGAGCGCATGGGCAGCACTCTCAGATCTCTCATTATCCGTAGCAACGGCTTCCTGAACTAACATTCTCCCAATCAGTCACGCATACGTGTTTCTCCTTTTGTGCTGAAGTTCCTTTCTCCCCAGGGGGACCTGAAAACCATGGAGGCATTTTGATGAGAGATGTTGAAATAAAAGAGGAGACTCAGTCGGATCAGCAGGTGCCCCTGGCGGAGTGCCTCCAGGTCCGTCCCAGGACCTCGTCCCCATTGTCTGGGAAGCAGCTGGTGCTGCGGCGCGGGCTCCTGCTCCTGGGGGCCCTTTCCATCTTGCTGCTGGGGATTTTAGTGAGGGTATGTGTCCGAATTCAGTGATGTGCAAGAGAGAGAGCGCGTTAGGTCAAGGAAAACTTTTGAGCTTACGAACAAATAATTCGTAGGCCCGACGGCGGTTTCAGTTACTGTTATTCACCTGTGGATTTCAAGAAGGGAACGTTCAAAGATATATTTTCTGATGAAAAGGAACTAAGGTAAAAGCTACGTGCTAGTCCAGGACAACGTCTGGAAGATTCCATCCACCACTGTTCCAGTCGGGGACCACTGTGTACTGGCTGTGTCAACGAATGCCTGCTATTTCTTCCACTTAATGTTTCTGTAGACACAAACCCATATACCGAATGCTTAAGGATTCTCACTCTCTGAATTATTTAAAATATATTTTACAATCTCTTCTCTTGTGCCTTAGAGGATTATTCAACAGGAAACGATACTTGTTCCTATTCCCTTGGGATCTAGATCTCAGGTACTGAGGGCACCGGACATGCTTGAGAGACTCAAAGCAAAGAAGACAGGTTACGAAAAAGGAAGGAGTCAGGTGGCATCAATTTGCATCCTTCCTATTAAGGACTTGTTTTACAATCTGCTTGGATTGACAGGGTTGGCAGAGGCCAGGAGAGGGGAGGGAAACATAGGGTCTGAAGAGCTAATCCAGGCAAACTGGAGGAAGAAAATCAGACCCCTTCCTCTTTTGATAGAAAGAAGGGTTTAGAAAGTTGGAAGGCAGCAAAAATGAAGTGTGAGCTAGGGGAGGGGAGGGGGTCCTGGACAGGCCCTGTTCATCTTTGTCTTTTAAAAGGGCCCGAGCTTTTAGTGGCAGACATGGATATCCAGAAGGTCTTGTGTGGGCCCATCTCAAAAAGATGACGCTTTGGGGGCGGGCATTAGGTTCCTTTCTATTTTAATGGAGGCACTGGGGGTAGAACCTGGGATCTCATGAATGCTAAGCACGTGCTCTACCACTGAGCTCTCCCCTCACCCTGAAAGATGAGGTTTTAATGAATACTCCCTCTGCTTGGCCTTAGAAAATCGTGGGGATTGTGAAAATCTGAACAGGCCCTGAGGAAGCTAATTTACTCTTGCAACAGCAAGAGGTTGCTAATCCCTCGAATTGGGTGGGAGGACCACGTGTCCACAGCGGCCGTAGATTAAGTGGTGGCCACGCTCGGGTGCAGCCTTGCGGTCGCGCCGGAAGCTCCGCCAGCCTCAGCCAACGCCAAGTCTGCCGGCCGCTGGGTGGGCACAACGGCGAGGCATGGCCTTTGCCCTGAAAGAACCCATAATGGACCAGATGAGCAAAATCAGCTTCTGTGAGTGAAAAGCACCCCAGGGCAGATTTCGGCCAGGGCCTTCTGGCAGCCCCACCCCGGGTGCCTCATTCTTCTTGGGTCAGTAAGTGTAAGGTTATCTTCAGAGACCAAGATAAAGGCTTGCGCAGAAGGCGGCCCCATCAACGGCCCCTCCCGGCGCCTCATCCCCTCCGCCCGGGCCTTGCAGAGGCTTCCCAAGCGGCCTCCCTTCCCCGGGGACACGGGGGCGTCCAATCGGCTGCAAACTGCTGGCAGCCGGGAGCTCAGGACCCCGGGGGTAAATTCTTGGCGCCTGCTGGGGCAGAGGCCTCACCGGCAAAGCCGGTGATTGTTCTGGGGTGCGTGGGTGGAGGCCCTCATTTCAGTCCCGGCCCCGCTCCCTTCCCGGGACACGACGTACTTTCCCCTCCTGCTCCTCCCGCGCCACCCCCCTCACCACGGCCCC